TTCCATTCTTGAGGTGGATATACTCGCAGTATTTAACAAAAAATAAGATTGCTGGTGAATCTGTGTGCAAATTTGTCGTCTTCATGACAGCATTTTGAGAGAGCTTTTATATGTGCCCTTGTATGTGTCTGTTCAGGACCATGAAAATGTCTATTTACATTTTTATAAAAAAAAGATGTGTACATTAATGAGTGGAATTTTCAATGCAATAATTGGTTTTGATTATGTATAGAAGTTTTTATATTCTCTCAATGAAAAGCAGATCGTTGGGGGGTGTCTGAGTTCATGTGCTGTACATACGTAAATTTATGTATATGTTTTTATTATAAATTATTATAAGTGATATCTTTATATTTATGTACTTTCTTATACATATCCTTGTGCAAGTGTGGAGGGTGGCTGTCAACTGGAGTATTTGCAATTCATTCTGTTCATGAAATACATGTTAAAACTTACATTTCAGGAGGGAGAAAGAGTAGGATGGGCGGTAGGGAAGAAGGACAGACTGGTAGTGATTCTGATGCTGTTCCCAAAGGTTTATTTGAGAATCATAATCTTTATGAATAGTGCTTTCACCACTGAAAGCTAACATATTCTGATATTGGTTATTTCCTTAGCAGACAAATCCTAGCTCTTTCCAAGAGATGGCAAATGTTACAACAGTACTGGAATTCACACTACTGTGTTTCAGTAGCAATCCCCACTGCCAGATCCTGTTATTCACAGTGGTTTTGGTTATTTATATTCTCACCATTTAGGAAACATCATTATAATTTCAGTGGTGACACTGGAGCCGCAACTTCATTCACCCATGTACAAATTTCTCAAGAACCTGACTTTGCTAGAGGTCTGTTGCACCACCAAGATTGTACCCAAGATGCTGGCGAATCTACTGGCAAAGAGGAAGAGCATCTCTTTCTCCGGATGCATGGCACAGCTTTACTACTTCATTTCTCTGGGAGCCACTGAGTGCTACCTCTTGACAGTGATGGCATATGACCGATTTCTTGCGGTCTGTGAACCCCTGCACTATGGTGGCCATGACTGCTGAGTCTTATACCCGTCTGACTGTGGGCTCCTGGGTCACTGGTGTTTTCACTGGTTTTCTGCCCTGTCTGGTGGTCTCCAGACTGCATTTCTGCAGTTACAACCTCATCGATCACTTCTGTGATATCTCTCCCCTGTTGAAGCTCTCATGCTCAGACACCACAGTCACAGAAGCTGTCATCTTCATCCTCTCTCTGCTGGTCCTTTCCAGCTGCTTTCTGTTGACTCTTGTTTCATACCTCTTTATAATTCTCAGTATCCTGAAGATACGCTCTGCTTCTGGAAAAAGAATTACCTTCTCCACCTGCAGCTCACACCTCATGGTAGTGACAATATACTATGGTACAATGATTTCCATGTATGTCCATCCCACCTACAACCTGTCCTCAGAGCTCAATAAGGCTGTATCTGTGCTCTACACAGTGGTCACACCTCTTCTGAATCCATTAATCTACAGCTTGATAAACAAGGCATTCAGGAAGGCCTTGGAAAAAACAGTCATCAGACACCATTGTCTTCATTCTTTGTAAGCTGGGAACATTTCAAGACTGACTCTTGTTGATATTCAGGCTCTTATATTCTGACTACAGAACAGGTTATTATCATGACCATGAGTAACAGCAGCAGTTGTTGCTGCTTTCTAACAAAAAATAATTTGAGGCAATTACTGTAAATCAAAATGACTCCTGGACTATACAATGTTTTACTTTCCCTTTATTTCTTTTTCCTTTTCCCCTCTCTTTTTGCCCACCATTTAATTTACTTTTTATTACTATTATAATTACTATGAGTTGCATTTTTTCTTGTTAGTGCACAGACACAAATACACATGAACATTCAAAGGCTAATACATGATTTTAAATTTACAAATTATTTGTGTTGTGTTGCTTGTAGATTTTTCTCTTGGTTTACATGGTCAGTTTTTTTGAATTCACTGATTCAGAACAAATGTCATTCTGTTTTTCTTATTCTTTGTTTGGGGCAAGTGAAACCAGTATCTTGATATAAAGCAGAAAAAGTGTATTTGCCTTTTATGAGGAAAATGTATCTCCAACACATTTTTATTGTTACTTTACAATAACTTCACACTATGAGAAGTTAATGTGACATGGCTGAATTTATTAA